GGCAGACAATGAGCAGGTAGTCTGTGTTTCTGGCTGCAGAGCCTCCTGCCAGCCCCAGCCAGCCAGTCACCCTCATACCTCCACTGAGAGGGCAGAGCTGGGAGCTAAGCCATTTGTGAGGCGTCTGCACCCACTCTGGTTTTGGTCTTTGTGGCAGGTCATTTTGGGGGTGCCATCTTTTTGTTCTGTGCTGCACATCCTGCCTGCCCACCCTGACTCCCAGCTGTTATTTCTTGTGAAAGTCCATCCTTTTACATCCACTGGCCACACCAGGGCTCTTCTCACAAGGCAGGTGCTGTCCAAGCTGGGCCTGTGCCCATCAGCAGGCTGTGCTTGAAATACCAGTGGTGTGGCAGGAAGCTTGGTGTCTGCTCCTTGGGGTTCAGATCCTGAACATTGGTTCAGGTGAGTTCAACTCCAGAGCATTGGTTGGGTGTGTTCCAGGTTCACTATAACATGTGAAGAGAAGCTCGCTTGTCTTATGAAGGTGCTGTGCACATGAGGAAAGCAGGGCTGCTTCACTCCTGCACGGGGATGCTGTGACTCCCAAAGAGCTGTTTCTGAGTACCATGGTCACACACCATTTCACATGAATTAAATGAGCAGCTGCTGCACATGGGTTGGTCAGGGCCCTGGTGAGTTTGGAGGCCCGGTATGGACCTTCCTTCAGAAGCACCCTTCAAAGACAGTTCCAGCCACTGCAGTTCTTTCCATTAGCGATTCAGATTATACTTGTATTGGAAATCAGCAACCTACTGCTGCCCAGGTATGGCCAAAGGAGTCTGGGTCCACAGGGGTGCTGTCACTTGCCATCACCCCTGCCCTGGCAGTTGTCTTCCAGGAACTGTTTGGAGTCCCTCCGAGCGTCTTCCCTGGGCTACCCCTGCAATTCCTGTGGTCTCCACACTGCTGTGTCATGAAGAGTACAGCCAGGCCCTCCTTGGGGCACCTGCGAGCCGCACCCCAGCATGCCTGCCCTCTTAAGGGCCTGCTGCTGAGTGCCTCCTTGTGACCACTCCCCTCCTAGAGGGAAGCTGGCAGTTATTTTAAGATCAAGGCAGAATGTGTGCTCTGATGGGCCTGGAGGGTCAGGACAGGCCACAGTGGGGTCCTCTGTGCCATGCAGTGACCTGCAAGTATCCACAAGAGGCTGGCATCCATTTTATCTGACAGTTGGGACATTGGTTATCTGGACTTTGTTTTCGTTTCTGTAAGGAGAAAACAACCTAATCTGAGGTTTGATTATTTGAACCATTAGAAATCTTTTGGTTGCAAATTACCAAAAATGCAACTCAAACTGGTTAACTGAAATTTATTGCTCAGATGACCAATAAATCCTGAGGCTGTAGATGAGGCTCAACTAGGCAACTGGATGGTAGCTGTGAAGTCCAGGTGCGGCTCTGCCTGCCTGCACTGCCTCTTTACCTTTCTGGCCAGTGTCTCTAGTCCTCCATACCATCCTGCCCCTTGGTCACATAATGGTGTCCACAGCTCCCTGCCCCACTGCTTCATCCAGGGGACAAAGGATGCTCTTTCAGAACAGAGGGAAAGCTTTCCCCTCAAACCTTGGCTCTGACTGGCTCTCCAGCCTGGCCCTCAACCTGCTGTGGCCCTGAGGTGGAAATCAGTGGTTGAAGGAGCCCACAGGGCTGACCCCGGGGCTGGAGCAGAGCTGATTCCACTTGCTTTGCAGGGTGCAGGGTGAGAACAGGGAGGTGTAGGGACCTTTCCCAGGGAAAGGGAGGAGGTGGGGCACTGATCACATGGGTCCCACACTCACCCTGGGCCTGGCGCTGTCAGCAGGTGGCCCTAAAGTGCCTCTGCGCATATTGACACAGCCCCAGTCCCCTGCTAAGCCAGACAGCTTTCCAGGGCTCTTGAGATGCTTTGTCCCTCTGGGTCATCCTCATGGTGACCTGTGATGTAGGGACATCTGTCCCAGGTAACAGATGGGGAAACTAAGGGACCTGATGTAAGCCACCAGGGTCACCTGGCCAGCGTGGTGTTTGGTGAGGCTGGATGTGACTGTGCTGCAGTCTGTGGGCTGGAGGCAGCTGCAGGTCTAGGGCAGTGGGATGCTCTCCAGGGCTCAGCGCAGCACAGCCGCCATGGCATCTGCAAGAAGGTTGGTGCGGCACCCTTTCCCTTGGCTCCCTGACCAACCCCCTTGCCAGCTGGCCCATCTTCACATACTGGCTAGATCCTCTTATTGTTTTTTAAAATTATTTATTTATTTATTTATTTATTTATTTATTTATAGCAGAGATTGAAGCCAGAGATGGTTTTACCTCTAAGCCACATCCCCAGCCCTTTTTATGTTTCATTCATATATATATGTATATATTTAGTTGTAGATGAACACAATACCTTTATTTTATTTATATATCTGGTGCTGATGATCGAACTCAGTGCCTCATTCATATGAGGCAAGCGTTCCACCACTGAGCTATAAACCCAGCCCTGCATTTTATTTTGAGACAGGTCCTCACTAAGTTGCCGAGGGCCTCATCAAGTTGTTAAAGTTGGCCTTGAACTGGCAATCCTCCTGCCTCTGCCTCCTGTGTCACTGGGATTATTGGTGTGTGCCACCACCCCTGGCTCCCATTGCTTCTTAAAGCCATGGCTCCTGTTAGTGGAAGCCTATCCCTAAACACTACCTGTCATATTGTCTGCACAAACAAGGAAGCTGATCTGGAAAGGTGCATCAGGTGGATGTCCCTGCCAAGAGGCCCTCCCACAGCAAACCTCTGGTAGCCATGTTGCTGGAAGGATGTGCCCAGCAGCTGCCAGGGACGAGGCCTCATTGTCCTCATTGAAGCCCCCCCCCCGGCTCCTTACAGCCCTTACCTGCTACAGGGATGAGCCAGCTGGCCCTGGGGGTTTGGGGAACACAAAGCACCCACCTGTCAGCTTCTTTCCCTTGGGCCTCCATAGGCAGCTTCACTGCCCACCTGCCCTTGGCATTCATGTCCCACTGCCTACTTTCATGAGGACTCACCTTCGCTGTCTGTGTTGCTGGCCTGTCACTATCCCTGAAGCTGCACCCCCTTGTTGATGTTGAAGTCTCTCCAGTCCTTGTGTGGACCACGCCCTGGGACTTGGCCTCTCTACACTTCTGTATAGGCCTTGGCCTCCTGCCCATGGCCTACTCTGTCACCTCAGTCTTGATGTTCCACCTGTCCTAAGGCAGAGGCCTATAGCAGGTGTTTGCTGAGGAGGCGGAGTGACTTTCCCAAGCCTACCTGTCCTCACTCACCCTGGCTTCTGGCTCCTCTGTGCCTGTGTCCTGCTGTGTCCCACCCAGAGGTGCCCTGGTCCAGTTGTTCTGCACTCAGTGCTGCCCCCAGGTGCTGCTGCAGTCACTGCCTGTGTCCAGGCCCTACTCACCTCCAGATCTGCTGCTTTTACTGGGTGAGGGTGGTGAGCAGGCCTGAGCTTCAGGGGGTCTTCCTGTGCTGGACATTGGCTTCTATTCTAGGTGAGCAGGAAGCCTAGGGAGGAAGGGCTCGTCTTTGTGCACAAAGACCTATAAGTCCTTGCCGCGGAGATCAGGCTGGGTTAGAGCTTCTGCATCTTCCAGACTCAGCCTGTGCTGCCACCTTCTCCAGGAAGCCTCTGAGTCAGGGTGGCCTATGACCTCCCACCATGCCCTCCTGGCTGGATTTGTTCTTGGCATGTTGCATAATGCATCTTAACCTGCCTCCATCACGCTGCCAATGTCATAGGACAGGACCCTGTTGTGCCCTTATGCCCGCATGCTCCTTGTGCCTCACAGAGGCCCAGGTCACTCAGTGGCTCAGTGTGGAGGCAGCACCACTTGGGTTAAGCGCTGACATTTCAGGGACTCTGGGAAGGGCTGAGGGGGTGTGTCCCTCCCCAAGCCTGTGCTGGTCAGCATCTTCTTGGAACCATCAGGATGCTGTTGGAGACCATTAAGGTTAGGGATCCCAGATCTGTCTAGTCAGTCTCAGAGGCTTCCAGGGCACCCTGAGGTTTCATAGAGGGGATCACCAGTTGCTACACTATCTCATGCTCACGACTGCGCCTGGGCTGGCAGCATGGGCCTCCAGGTAGCCTGTGAAAATGAGGACCCTGGGGCCCATCCAGACTGCTGAGTCACTGCACATGTTAAAAACATCTTGGATGATTTGGTTGCCCTTGGGAGATGAAAAAGTTTCTTAAATCTCCTTTCTCATGTGAGACCCTGGTTCTCATCCTCAGTACCATGAAGAGAAAAAATCTCTTAAGCCCTGTCTTTCTATTTCACACAGTGGACGCTGACTCCCAGTCAGGCTAGGAGCCCTCTGTGTGCCTGGGGGGCTGTTGTGGGCATCTGGACAGTTCTGCAGGAAGGTCAGCTAGGATTCTTGGGGAAGCTGCAGACTGACACAGAAGGAGGCCGCACATTCCAGACACAGACGTACTCAAGTTCTTCCCTTTTCCTGATGTCTTAACCCCAGGAGTGGGGGCCCTGGGGCAAGTACAGGTCCACTCCCAGCTGTTCTGGGTGGCAGGGCCTCGCCACATACAGCCAGGGCTTGGGATTTATGAACCAGTTGCCTTCAGTGGCCCATCAGCACTTCCTCTAGAGCATCATAGCCCTTTCATTCTGGGTGAGCAGGAGGCTCTCTGTTCCTCAGTACTCTGCAGTCTCCTCCTCTTCTTTATTCTGGTTTTCCTGCTTGTGACACATACGATGAAGAGTGTCACATGGACAGCCCGTGAATGTTGTAGTGTCCTAGAGTGATCTCGCAGTGACATCCTCAGCCACTGCCTGCGAGGCTCTCTGCCTGGCCTCTTGCTCCTTGGTCCCCCACCCCCGACCCTTGGTTTCTTAATTAAGTTCTATCCCTCATAAAGAAGTTGCAGGGATGATAGATGTAAGTGGTTCAGCAGAGCTAAGCTTGCTGTACTAAAGAAATTGGGGGCGGGGAAATGGGAGGGAAACATGGGACAGGTTGTAGTAAACCTAAGAAGATTGGTATGTCTTTCCTGTTTAGAGCAAAAGGAAGAAAAGGAGGAAGAATCAGGACACAACTGCTTCCTCAGAACAGGGTTCCTTGGCTCCATCATCTTCCATTCCCCAGAGTCCAAATTCACCTTCACACCCCTGGTCCCAGGACGCAGCCCTGGCCCAAAGCCAAGCCCCGCATGCTGGTCCAGCTGGCCAGTGCAGGGGTGCAGCCTTAGGAGATGTGTCTCAGAACAGGCCAGCACTCCAGGACCACAGGAAAGAAATGGATCTCCATACTTCCACGCCCTCTGGGGACAGGGGCCTCTCCCAGAAGGTGTCTGGGCTGCCCACCTCTACCTGCGAAGCCCACTGTAAGGCTGAAGATGCTGCCCAGGGGCTCCTGCTGCCTGAGTCCAAAGGGGACTCTGAGCCTCAGAAAGAAGCACAGAGGGCCAGGCAGCACACGGAGATCCCAGCTTCTGGGGTAAGTATTGGGGAATGGTGGCGGGGGCACAGGACGGGCCCTAGCACCTTTGGTGTGCCATGTGGGTGAGACAATGCTTCCTGTCTAGGAGGGCAGCTGGGACTTGCTCCCTGGGGGTGGGGGGCAGGAAGGGACTGTGGACCTCACACTCAAGTTTAAGGCCAATGCTGATCTTAAGCCCTTGGGACAGAGCAGCCTTTCATTTGTCTCTGTGGCTCAGGGAGTCTGGGGTCTTTATTTCCTCCAGGGAGTTGATGCTACAGCTGAGCCAGATAATCCAGTTAACAGGGCTGGGAAAGAAATGAAAGATAAGGTTCAGTCAACAAATGAGCTGCCGGCAAGTCCCCCTGCTTCCAAGGAACACTGCCAGGTACAGGTTTCCCACCAGGGTAGACCTGGGGGACACTGTTGGCCTTCCTGGCCATCCCTGCTGCAACCTGTCACCAGCCCATCTTCAGTCTGGTTATGTGGCACATGTTTGTGGAGAGCTAGGGACAGTGCAAAGGAGACCAAGCCTTCCTTCAGGGAGCTCACTTGCTGGAGGGGGGAAAACTGAGGCCAAACCAGGAACCAAGAAGTGAGATGGGAAAAAATAGAGTGTGGGGGGTACCAGGAGGATCCCCAGGAGTATGCTGGTTGGTGCCATGGGGGAAGGTGGCTCCTCAGCCAGGGAGGCTGGGTGAGGCTTCAAGGGAGGTGCTGGGGGAGCAGGGGCTAGAAGGAGTGAGGGGTGAGCTTTGGAGTCCCTGGGGACACATTCAGATGAAAGGATTGGCATGCCCAGGCCCGAGGGTGTCTTGTGCTGGCCTGCTCTCAGTGGAAGGAACTAGTGCGCTCAGGAGTGAGAGAGGGAGGAGGGCCCAGGCAAGGTTAGGGAAGGGTCCTGAGAGGCCATGGGAGTGGACTGGAAGGACTGGACAGTCCACCTGGGATGCTGTGAGATGCATGGCTGAGGGGCAGCCTTTCAGGCTGGGGCTTGGTTGCTCGTTTCAGGAGGGTGAGACCAAGGACGGGTTGGCTGCTCCTGGAGAAAAACCAGGTGAAAACAACTCAGAGCCCAAAGACCCAAGGAAGCCAGAAGGGAGTGACAAAAATTGCACAGCTGCTGTGACAAAGGAGAAGGAACAGAAGAATCAGAAAGCCAGTGCAAAGGCCATCCCCGTGAGGTACCAGGCCACCCCGCCCAGGGCCAGGGCACAGGGAGGCCATCCGTGCTTGTTGAGGGCCCCTATGATGAGTTCAGTCCAGAGGTTGCAGAGGAGGCAGGCTGGCCAGGCCGGGAACTCATACCCTCCTCTCCACTTCTTGGCCACTTGTGATGGGCAGCAGCCAGGGGTGAAAATTACCAGTAGAGAAAGAGGAGGTAGGTTGTCCAGGAGCCGTTGGTGACCACAGTGCTTCCTTCCCTCTTCCAGCTGGCTGAAGCCCGAGGAGGGGATCACTGTGCACTTCCATGCCATCATCCCCAAACATGTCACCTTCGACCCCAAGCTCCACACGGTGTTCATCAGGGGAGGAGAAGAGCTCGGACAGCCCAAGGGGAGTGATGCTTGCAAGATGTACTACATTGCGTGAGTCCCGGGTCCCCCAGCACCTTCAATGTGTGTTAGAGGTGATCAATGAGTCCCTGAGGTGGCCCTGCTTCCTGGGTGAGCGTGTGTTTGATACTCCCAGCATGCATTTCTTAGTATCGTTTTGCCATGGCTCTTTTTTCTGTCCTAACTGGAAACAAAGCCCTGCCCTGTTCTAGACATGCTGTCTTGGTCAGTGTTCTTTATAGCTTTAGGTCTGTGTTCTTGGTATTTGAGACCTAAATCTTCTGAGATAATACTTCCAGATAACTGGCCACTGGCTGGTATATTTTGATTTGCAGGGACTTACATGAGTACGGATCCCTCATCGAGGGCAGCGTTGTCATTCCCAGGCAGAGCCTGGATAGAGCCATTCCTTACAAGTACGTCCTTCACCGTGGCTTTAGCTGCAGCTCTGTGGAGTACGAGTACATCTACCAGCAGTCGCAGAAGGCAGGCGAGCACGTGAACCGCTGCCTGTGTGTCAAGTCCTCCCTCCTGTGCTCCAGAGGTAAAGGGCCTCTCCTGTGGCACCTGTGTCTTAGCCTGGGTGCTGCTCTGCGGAGCAGACTGCCTGGTCTGCATGGGTCCTCTGCTGTGCGCTGCCCCTGCTGTGGTTATGCAATAGAGAAAGTGGGAAGGAGAGAGGACAAAGCCAGAGGAAGGGTTGGGACTGTGGGCAGAGTGGGCCCCGGGTCCAGGGCAGATTTTGGGACAAAGCACGGAACAGGGAGTTGTTGGCTAGCCCTTCCTGGAGGCAGCCAGGTGGTGACCGGAAGCAGAACAATGTGTTGAGAGCCTCCCTGTGGGCCTCTGTTATTTGTCCTTGTCACATATGGTGGCACTTGGGTGGCTTCCATATTCGACCAGCTGAATCTTTGGAAAGAACCCGCTGCCCCTCTTCAGGCCCTCTGGCAGCTCTTTGTCTGTGACCCTGTCTGCAGCTACTGGTTGTCCAGGCCTGCCTGGGCACCCAGCCAGGTCCTCAGCTCCCCCCAGGGCCTAGGATTTTAAAAAAAAATGTTTTCTGGGTTGACCTCAAGCACCTGGGCTCCAGGGGTCCCCCTGCCTCATCCTCTTGAGTGGCTACAGGTGCACCAGGACACCTGACTATGCACGTAATTTTTAATAACAATAGTGTACTCTGAGGACTTCAGCTTTGAGTCCAGACTGGATTTCATCAGATAATTCCACAAGCAAAGATGGAGTTTCTGCTCTGACAAGTCCCACAAAGCGAGGGGCTGGAGTAGGGTCAGGAGCAGCTCCAGAGGAGGCCATGCCTGAATTAGCATATGAACCCTGGCCAACTGTCACCTGGCAGGGACAGGGTAGAGCTGCGGTGGCAGGGCCAACCAATGGGACAGCAGTGTGCACAGCGCCTGCTTTGGGCCTCAGGAGTCCTGCTCAGCATCTGTTTTAATATTTCACTGCTACTTGTGTGTGTCTTTCTACACAGAGGGCTTTTTTTGGTACCAGGGTTTGGAACCCAAGGGTGCTTTACCACTGAGCCATATCCCCAGGCCTTTTTATTTTGTATTTTAAGATGGGATCTCCCTAAGTAGCTTAGGGCCTCCTAAGTTGCTAAGACTGGCCTCAAACTTGCAGTCTTCCTGCTTCTGCCTCTGGAGTCCATAGGATTACAGGCAGGCATCATTGTGCCCATCATTGTGTCTCTGTCCATCTTATAAGTTTTCAGTCTTTTTTTTTTTCTTTTCTTTCTTTCTTTTTTCTTTTTATTTTTTCTGACAGTGCTGGGGATGGAACCCAGGGCCTGTGCATGCTAGGCAAGCGCTCTACCCTGAGCTAGATCCCCAGCTCTTTTATTCATTTTTAAATTTTAAATCAGGTTTTGCTAAGTTGCCCAGGCTACCCTCAAATTTTGATTCTCCCGCTTCAGCCACCTAAATTGCCTGGAGTACAGCCATGCACCATGGTGCTTGGCTAACCACTTTTGTTTTCTAATTATTTTACAGTTAACATCACTGGGTTTTCTAGATCTATAATTGTGTCTCTTGCAGGTGGATCTCAGAGCAGACTTGAATTCAGCCCTTTCCCTGTAGTGGGCACCTGCTAGTGGCTCTGTGTCTGCTGGGTAATCTGCACCATCCTCTTTGGGGTGGGGGTTGCTGTTCCCAGTATGTACCCTGAAGTCATTTATCAGAACAGGACTCAGTTGCTAGTGAGAGATGTAGTTTTAGTATAAATTTTTTTAGTGTAATTTTTTAAATTTATCTATGACAGAAGAATGCATTACAATTCTTATTACATATATAGAGAACACAATTTTTCATAACTCTGGCTATATACATAGTATATTCACACCAATTCGTGTCTTCATACATGTACTTTGGATAGTAATGATCACCACATTCCACCATCATTAATTACCCCATGCCCCCTTCTTTTGTTATAAATGTTTAACCTGCATATGGTCATGTTTAAAGCTTTTACTAGGCTTGCTGAACTGCATTGCTAAGCAGAGACTTGGTTTTAAGCTCATCACTGTGGGTTTTCTAGGATTTCTGTCTCTAGAGGTATGGCCATGGTAGCTGATGGAGTGAGTTCTGATTCCCTCAGTTTTCCAGAGTCCTCTTGTTTTTCTTTCTTCCTTTTATCCTCTGACTATGCTCCCCTAATTCTGTTTATTTTTTAGACAGGGCCTCCCTAAGTTGCTGAAACTGACCTCTAACTTGTGATTCTCCTGCTTGAGACTCCTAAGGCACTGGCATTACAGACATGTGCCACTGTGCCTGCTCCTCCCCTGTGTTTCTGTCTTCCTAGGTGGTACCTTGGGTTGGTGGGTTTTGAGATCTTAAATGTGACTTTTTTCTTGCTGTCACCCATAGACTGGCATCAATATGATGACATAATTTGCATGAAGCCTCCTGGGGCCTTCCAGAAATTTCAGAACCTCTTCACTAATAAGATGAAGAAGGAGCTGGTGAAGGAGAAGAAATTAGCAGCTGCAATCATGCTGGGCCGCATCTTTAGCAACCTCCAGACCTGGAACCTCGTCAACCTGCAGAACTTCTTCACCCAGTTCCGGCAGTTTTATCATGTTGTCCAAGAGCCTATGATTTACGAAGGGAAAGCACAGCCCTGGTATAGCCTGGGCCTCGGAGAGGAAGAGGTATCAGATGTCCCCCGGTTACCAGCAGCTCTGGTGTGGGTGGGCAGGGTCCCCTGACCTACTACAGGTAGTGAGACCCTGTGACTGACTGGGGCAGCTGCAGAGGGGGCAGGAGGATCTTTCCATCCCTTCTTTTCCTGCTCCACCTCTTGGGAATCCCTCGCCCCCACATCCCTCCTCCTGATTGTACCTCTGAGCCTCACTCCCAGCACTGATCTTGAGTTCTTTCAAGGCCTAGGCAGAGTTGAAAGAAAGGTTGGAGTCCATCATTGCCCCTTCAGCCACACTGTGGCTTGGAGACAGAGATGGTGCTCTCTCTGAGTTCGACATTGAGCTCTCAAGAGCATCCAGGGGTCTCCCAGACCCACCTCACTGCAGGGTTTGGGACTGATCATGTGCTTCTGCTGTCCCAGAACCTCAGTGTACCTGGGAGTTGGGGAGGTGAGGGAGGTGGGGCCCTCCCCAGAACTCCCCTGCCTCAGGGCCTTGATCCCCTGCCCAGGGGTTCTCCAGCCTCCAGGGCATGCACTCCATGGCTGTGCCTCTTCTTTCCCCTGCATCAGGTGAAGGAACACCTGTGGGAGTGTTTGAAAAAGCAGATTGAACCGTTTCTGAAAGGAAAGAGTGGGGATGCCCTGCCTGAAGGCTGGCCTGTGAGGAGCAGACTGAGGATGGGCCTGGTCCTCCTTTTCCTGGTGGAAAATGCCAGACTCTGCTTGTCGGAAGGTGACTTGACCTTACTATGCTCCATCCTCTGCCCCAGCACCTGTTCTCCAGATGTCCTACACAGTGAACTCCACCACATCCTGGGCACATCTGAGAGGTATCCTAGTTGTTCCTTTTTTTTCTTGGTTAGAGGTTTCATAGCCATTTATCATGATTTTTATCTGGTTATAGAGATAAGTGCTTGTTAGAGAAAGTCTGAGCACACACCGGGGAAAAATAAAACCACAGTCATGTCACCACTTGCTCTTGTCACTTTCGTGGCATATGTGTCATTGCTAGTTTTGTTAAATTCTGTGTTCTCCTGAATACCTTGGTTTCAAAAAAGCTTCAAAGGGCCAGGAACCATGGCGGCACTGTCATCCCAGCTACTTGGGAAGCTGAGGCAGGAGGGTTGCTTGAGCCCAAAAGCTCGGCCAGCCTGGGCAACTTAGTGGAACCCCAACTGGAAAAAATAAATGAGTAATATAAAGTACATGACAGAGTGCTCCTGGGGGCCCCTCCTCTGCCCACTCAGCACGCCTTAGCACTGGGGCCCAGGCCTGCCTGCAGGTGTCACCTAGGAAAGCTGCAGAACCCACAGGGATGCTGTCCCTGCTGCTCCACCTGTGCTGGTAGCTCTGGAAGCACACTGCCCCTGCTGGGTTAGCCATGGCCTTTTATGTGGTTGAGGAGACCTCTTCTGAGCTGCTGTGCTCAGAGGATCAGGGTCTCTTCTGCTTCTGTTTGGATTGAGCTTGGGTGACATCAGGTGGCCTTTTCTGAGCTCTTAGCACCTGTGGGTTTCCTAAGTTTTAAAGACCCAGGTAGTTGCTGTGCCCTCTGTGAAAGGGTGACAGTGGCTAGGAAATCTACAAACAGCTATGCGAGGGTGTGAGAGAAGGAAGAAGCGTCTATTTCTGTACCTGTGGGACACACACCATGTGTTGTTCCTTTTAAAAAGTGGCTTTGTAGCTGGGCACAGTGGCACATGCCTGTAATCCCTCAGACTCAGGAAGTTGAGACAGGAGGATCACAAGTTCAAGGATAGTCTCAGCAACTTAGAGAGGCCATGTCTCAAAATAAAAAAGGTTGGAGATGTAGCTTAGTGGTAGAGTGTCCCTGCGTTGGATCCAAGCTTTTTTTTTTTTTTTTAAGTTTGCTTTGTGTTTAGGTCTATCATCGCCAGACTACCTGGTTCAAATCCTAGGCCCTGTGTGAATTTCTTGGCTGGAAACAGAGGGCCCCAATTCCTCAGCTGTGTGGTGTGGGTGGATATGACCCCAGTGGGAGTCTGTTGGGATTCGTGATGTCTTGGTGCACTGGGATCAATCCCAGTGCAGTGCCAGGTCACTTTTCCCTCTTGTCTCCCTGTGTTTCCCGGTCTGAGACTCGGTCTAGGTGTGCCATACCTTGGAATAATGATTCTGCTGGATACAAGTAGCTTTCCTTTCCCTCCTGGGACATCAGACCTCAGAGCAGGTCGGACACAGCCAACCACAGCTCACATGAGGTCTTGGTTCCCTTCCAGATGGCAAGAGTACTTGGTCAACCTGTGCCAGAGGTGTATAAATGCAAGAGTTGTCGACTGGCTGGGCATCCTCCCTGTCCTGCACTACTGTATGCAGCTGGCCCCTCCAAGAAAGGACTTTGTGAGCCAGCCTGAGGACATCTGGGCTAGCCTCAAGGGAATCTCCTTCTTTCAGTTTCAGGAAAAATGGCTAAATGAGTAAGTTGTAAAGCTGTATTTATATCAGCGCATCTTGGAATAATGATTCTTTAGCACTTTGCCACTGAGCTACATCCCCAGTCCTTTCTTAAATTTTCAATTTTTGAGACAGGTCTTGCTAAGTTGCCTGGCCTGGCCTGAACTTGTGATCCTCCTGTCTCTGTATCAACTGGGATCACAGGAATGGCCACTGCGCTGGGCAGTCTTTCTTGTATAACTGTATTAATGTATATTTACTCATTTGTGTGACAGACACTTAGCACCTCTGTGTGTCCCAGGACACAACCCCCAGTACTGCAAACCTTAGTTCATGGCCTCTGACCTTGCCTTTTGGCTGGAGTTGGGGGTGGTGAGTGTATTTTTGGTAGAGCTTAGAGCAAGATCCTCCTTTTGCTGGCCTTAAGGCTCAGGCCAGAGAACTGCCTGGGAGAAGCAGAGGACTTCCACAGTCTGCTCTCTGATGGTGAGAGTGGTGCGCTTCCCCGTGGGTGGGAGGCTCAGGCCTCATAGAGTGTGGAAGTCTTGGTGGGCAAGAGTACAGAGACAGTGAACATGGGCTCACTGGGCCCTGCACTATGTACAAGACAATGGCCATCCAGTGGGGAGAGGGACTGAAAATTGGAAAAGTCACTGTTCCCGAGACGTGGATGCATAGAGCTTGCTGAAGTCTGAAGAGGGAGATAGGAACCAGCTGCTATGGATGCTCAGATTCTGGCTTCTGCCAGGGGTACTGTGGCCCTGTGGTCAAAAGATGGAAAGTTTCCATGAACCGAGTCTCACTAAAGCTACTCTGCCTCATAACTCCTGACCTGAGAAGAAGCTGCTGCACACGGGAGGAATTAGGGTGTGAAACACATACACGGCCCGGGTGGGGGGATTCAGGGAGGGTGTTTGGAACAACCATGAGGGGGCTGGGATTATGACTCAGCTGTAGAGCACTCGCCTAGCACATGTGAGGCCCTGGGTTTGATTCTCAGCATCACATAACAATAAATAAATAAAATAAAGGTATTGGGTCTAACTACAATTGAAAAATAAATATATAAATATTTTTAAAAAAGAACAACTGGGAGGAGTATTGAAGAGGACCTTCAGAAAAAGTGGACAATCTGTCACAAACAGATGGGGAATTTCAGAAGATTAGTGGAAACCATAGGTATTAAGAAAATAGCTGAGTGGGAAGGCCACAGACAACACCTGGAGTGGGGATGGAGTCTCTTCTTGATGGCTCAGCAGCAGCCTGGAGACAGCAGGGGGAAGGGGCCGAGAACCGGAGGACTGGGCAATAGAAATGTCATGCTCACACAGAGAAGTTGCAGATGGGAAAAGAAAAGAACAGAGCTTCTGAGGTCTGTGGGTGAAAACCAGGTGAGTAAAGAGGAGAAAGAGGCCAGAGGAAAGAGGGAGGATCGTTCTTGATTTTCCCAGGACAGAGAGCACCATCTCACAGAGCCTGCAGTCTCCAGGCAGAACAGGGGCAGGCCATTCACATCTGGCACAGTCAAGGCTGCAGGGCACCAAAGAAAGACTTTCTCCAAGGCAGCTGGGGAAAAGACTCAGTGAGTCCAGGGGACTGTGGAAGGGTGAATGGAGGAGGGAGAGGTGGCATTGGTACAGAGTGCTCAGCCTTGGCAGGGAGGCGGGCTCAGTCACATGCTGCAGTGCAGACCTGTGCTGAGGACATTGAGCTAAAACACCAAAGCAGACCTCAGAAGGACAATTAGCATGTGATTCCACCCCTGAGGTCCCTAGCATCTTCATACTCAGAGAAAGAGTAGTGTGGCTTGCCAGAGGCTGGGGGAGGGGAGTTGGTCTTTAATGAGGATACAGTTTCAGTTTTGCAAGATGAAAAAAGTTCTAGAGTTTGGTTGTGTGACAATGTGATGTCATTGACACATTGTATATACTGGAGAATGGCTGAAATGGTAAAATTCAGGTTGAGCGTACTATCATTAAAAAAAAATAACTTTTAAGCCAGGTAAGCCAGGTGTGGTGGCACAGTCCTGAAGTTCCAGAGACTCGGGAAACCAAGTCAAGTGGATCACAAGTTCAAGGCCAGCCTGAGCAACTTTAAATCTCAAAATAAGATTTAAGAAAGGGCCTTGGATGTGGCTCAGTTGTGCAGTGCACCTAGGTTCACTCCCCATTACAAAAAAAAAATCATAATAGCAATAATTAACTTTTAAAAACCACTATCTAAAGTAATTCTAGGCATGATTTCCTGAAGTTAGCACTGTTATATTTTGGGGACCATGCCATTCTGTGTGGTGGAGGCCTTCCTGTGTACTGTAGGATGTCGAGCAGTGTACCTGGCCCCCACCTAGAAGGTGCTACTGGTCTTGCCCCCTCCCCAGTTCTTAGAGGCATTTGTGTTTCCTGGTATTGCCAGGGCCCCCTGGTTGGTAGTGGGAGCTTGAACACCCCTGCCCCCACTGAGAACTGTGCTTGAGCAGGAGAAAGTGGACTCAGAGATGCAAAACTCCAAGCTAAATAAATGATAAATTGGAATACTAAGCAATATGTAAAAGCCAGAACAGGGCTGGGGCAGGGGCTGGGGCTGGGGATTAGTGACAGAGCACTTATCTAGCTTGGCTGGGGTCGTGGGTCCCATCTTCAACACCATAAAAAATAAAATAGTCAGAGCAGGATTCACAGAGGAATGGAGAACAAAGGTTTAAAGTATGACAAACCCCCAGTGTGGAGAATCAAATCCAATCCCACACCAAGAGCCTAAGAGGAGGAGCAGGCAGATCCATACCTCTGTGGAGCAAATGGCAGGAGAATAAATATGGTATGGACATTGGGGAGAAAGCTGTAGACCAGCCAAACCCAGGTAGCCCCCAGGGGCTTCAGTGCCCTGCACGGCAGGCCACATGCCTTTTTCAGATGTGCCTGTGGGCACATTCAACAAGACAGGCTGCATTCTGAGCTGGACCACTCTCAGCACCTTGAAGGTGCTGTAGTCCAAGGTTCCTAACCACAGCTGAACAGGTGGAAAATCCTTACGTGCCTGGATGTGTTAACGGCATGCTGCTTCTAAATTACCTCGTCTTGGAGTGAGGAAAGGTTCTTCAGAGAAGACATGGAAAGCACAACCTACACAAGAAAAATTGTAGGAGGCTGGCTGCACTCGGTGGCAGAGGCCTGCCTAGCATGGGCAAGGCCCTGGGTTGCCTCCTCAACACCACACAAAAAAATTTTTAAATCCAATTTAAGAGAAGAGTATAAAACTTAAAATAAATCTGAATTAAACATGAAAGCAGCTTTGTACTCATTTCCACACACAGATAACTGCCATGTGTGGAGTGCCCTGTCCCCTTGCCCTCCCTGTCCACTGGGAGCCAGGTGCCGTCTTTAGGGATGAAGGCAGTGAGCTCAATCGTTCTCATCTCCTCTCTATTTTTGGAAACTTTTGAAATGAAAGCTAAATAGAAATTATTTTCATTTATTTGTTTGTTTGTTTATTTATTTATTTATTTATTGGTGTCAAGGATTGAAAATCAAGGGTGCTCAACCACTGAGCCACATCCCTAACTCCTTTTTAATTACTTTTTGAGACAAGCCTCACTAAGTTGCTGAGGGTAGCTTTGAACTTGTGATCCTCCTGCCTCAGCCTCCTGAGTTGCTGGGATCACAGGTGTGCCACACACTTGGCTTTTTTTTCAGTTTTCATTTGATTCACTCTGTATGTCTGGTTCCATGATGCATTGATATCATCTTTAAAATCTGAGCTTTGTGGACCTTCCCAGCTTTGCTTTTCCTTGTCTTGAGTCTGTTCAGTGCTCTCACTGCTGCCCTGGTCTCTGTCCCGGTTTCTTCATTCAGGAGCCAGTTTCTTGACTTCATGGAGAGCAGGAAGCAGTTGCTGTATATGGATGATTATCTCTTTCGATCCTGGTTCAGTTTGCTGCCTCTGGGAAGCCTGGTTCCCTATATGAAAAACTCCACTGAATACTTGAGTCTCATGCCTGCTCGGGTCCTGGACTGTTTTCTAGGGACTCACTACAGGCTGCAACGGCTTCAGAAGATCTCAAAGATCTCAGAAGAGCTCTTGGAGGTTTGTGGTTGGGAATTGGGTGTCAGGTCCTTGCTTAGTAAAAGCGGGTTACAAACTGAACATTGAATGCTTGTGGGTCTTCTGTCCTGAAGGGAAGTTGGGGGAAGTGCTGAGAAATAGTCAGAGAATTGCTGAAATAAGAAGTCATTATTTCTTAGGGTTAAAGTTTGAATTCCCAGAGTAGATTCTGGTTTAGTAAATAGAGCACAAGACAACAGTAGCCATTTGTTATTTATGACTGTTAGAAGGTGCTGTTAACGTCACATGTTTCATAGTTGCTGTCTTTCCTTTTATACTTTTTGAGGTAAAGAAAATGGTATAAGGACTTGGGAATCAGTTTAACAAAAGAGGTGAAAGACCTCAACAATGAAAACTACAAAACACTAAAAAAAGAAATTGAAGAAGACCTTAGAAGATGGGAAGATCTCCCATGCTCCTGGATAGGCAGAATTAATATTGTCAAAATGGCCATATTACCCAAAGCAGTATACAGATTGAATGCAATTCCAATTAAAATTCCTATGTCTCTCCTCATAGAAATAGAAAAAGCAATAATGAAATTTATTTGGAAAAATAAGCAACTCAGAATAGCCAAATCAATCCTTAGTAAGAAAAGTAAAGCAGGATGCATCACAATACCAGACCTTAAACTATACTACAAAGCCATAGTAACAAAATCAGCAAGATATTGACACCAAAATAGACATGTAGACCGATGGTACAGAATACAAGACATAGAGACAAACCCACATAAATATAGTTATCTCACACTAGACAAGGCACCAAAAACAAACATTGGAGAAGAGATAGCCTCTTCAACAAATGGTCTGGGAAAACTGGAAATCCATATGCAACAAAATGAAATTAAATCCCTATCTCTCACCATGCACAAAACTCAACTCAAAGTGGATCAAGAACCTAGGAATTAGACCAGAGACCCTGCACCTAATAGAGGAAGGAGTAGGCCCAAATCTTCATCACATCAGATTAGGCCCTGATTTCCTTAATAAGACCTCTAAAGCATAAATTACAAAATCAAGAATCAATAAATGGGATGGATTCAAATTAAAAAGCTTCTTCTCAGCAAAAGAAACAATTAGTGAGGTGAACAGAGCCTACGTTTTGGGAGCAAATTTTTGCCACATGCATGTCAGATAGAGCATGAATCTCCAGGATATGTAAAGAACTCAAAAAACTTAACACCAAAAATACAAACAACCTAATCAATAAATGAGCTGAACAGACACTTCTTAGAAGAAGATGTACAGTCGGTAATAAACAAATATATGAAAATTGTTCAACATCTCTAGTAATTAGAGAAGTGCAAATCAAAACTAAGATTTCATCTCACTCCAGTCAGAATGGCAGTTATCAAGAATACAGACAACAATAAGTATTGATGACAATATGAGGGAAAATGTACACTCATACATTGGTGGTAGGACTGCAAATTGGTGCAACCAATCTGGAAAGCAATATGGAGATTCCTTAGAAAACTCGGAATGAAACCACCATTTGACCCAGCTATCCACCTCCTCGGTCTATACCCAAAGGATTTAAAATCAGCATACTATAGTGACGCAGCCACATCAATGTTTATAGCAGCACAGTTCACAATAGCTAAATTGTGTAATCAACCTAAATACCCTTCAATAGATGAATAGATAAAGAAACTATGGTATATATACACAATGGAATATTATTCGGCATTAAAAAATAATAAAATTATAGCATTTGAAGGTAAATGAATGGAGTTGGAGGATATCATGCCAAGCAAAGTAAGCCAATCCCCAAAAAACAAAGGCTGAATGTTCTCTCTGAATAGCGGATGCTGATCCATAATGCTGGGGGTGGAGGAGTCACATGGGAAAAATGGAAGAACTTTGGGCAAAGGGGAGGGAGGGAAGGGGAGGAGGCATGGGGGCAGGAAAGATGGTGGGATGAGATGGACATCATTACCTTAGGTACATGTATGACTGTATATATGGTATGATGCTACATCATATACAACCAGAGAAATGAAAAGTTGTGCTGCAACTGTGTACAATGAATCAAAATACATTCTGCTGTCATATATACCTAATTAGAATAAATAAGTTAATTTTTAAAAAAGAAAATGGTATAAGGGCTAGGATGTAGCTCAGTGGCAAAGCACTTGCCTTACATATGCGAAGCCCTGGGTTTGATCCCCAGTTTCAAAAAAGAAAAGACAAAGAAAAGGACCCCACCCAACAAAAAGAAAAAGAAAATGGCTTAAATTTACAGCATGCATTTCACAGGTGGAAAATGAAGATTGGCTCTTGAAGGCTTGTGTGCAAGGAGAACAGGACAAGTCCCTGTGCCCTTCTCCCTTCTCGGCACAAACAGCTGTTTCCTTCTTGGACCTTTCATATTTCCCTTTCTCTTTCCTGCCTTAGCATGTCGGGAATGTTTTCAAAATGCTGATGCACCTTGTGGACATCCTTCAGGATGTGTAAGTAGAGCAGCTGGTGCAGTCCCCCTGTGTGGGCTCCTATGTGGTGTGGGCCGCCTGTGTCAAAGTGGGAAGGTGGTATACCAGCAAGTGCTCCAGTGTCCTTTGCAGTTACCAATCCAGCCATATGGGTTTTTTCATTTTCTTTGTCTTAAAGGAAAAGAGCAGGACTGTGTATGTAGCTTAGGGGTTGAGCACTTGCCTAGTGTATGCAAGGCCTGGGTTCAGTACCCAGCACTACAAAAAAGAAAAGCAAATAACAGCTCTTGGGTGCTGAGATTTTGCTTTGTTCCCACCCAACCTTTTGGCTTTTGTGTTTTCACATTGTTTTTTTTTTTGAGAGAGAGAGAGAATTTTTTAATATTTATTTTTCAGTTTTCGGCAGACACAACATCTTTATTTTATTTGTATGTGGTGCTGAGGATCGAACCCAGCGCCGCGCGCATGCCAGGCAAGCACACTACCGCTTGAGCCACATCCCCAGCCTTGTTTTCACATATTTTTAAATGATCATTGTCATAGAGCAGGTGTATGTGTCCTGCATTTTTTTTTAACAATTAGTTCTATGGTTTTTGAAAGTTGGGCCCATTTAAAACAAAAATCAAAGGTGGCCTTGCAGAATCATTTACTCCTGCACCTGTGTGTGACCTTTGCCACCTGAAGGAACAGCACGTGAAACGCAGAACAGTAATGTGCACCAGGGGCCTAGGTGTTCCTGGAGCCTCTCAGCACTGCTGCTCTCCCTTCTCCGAGCCCCTGGGGTGTCTGGATGTGGATCGTAGCACAGGGCTCCCCTGTGTGGCAAGCCCCTGTGACTTTGCAGGGTTCTTTCTCATATCACCAAGCTGACAGTCAGTAAATGTGAAACCCAGTCACACCAGGTGGAAGAAATTCTATCTGCAGTGCATACTCCTCTTCTAGCACCCTCCCTCCCTCCCTCTCTCCTGTACCTCTCTGATTTTTTTCTTAAGTTATTCATATTTTAATATTGGAAATATTCATCCCTTGCTATTTTTTGAATAAGGGAATATATTTACAAATATTTTAACTTGCTTTGATAGAGTTTCAACTGCTGAGCTAAGACAAAAGGACTGTGTTACCTTTTTATCTTAGTCACAGCTTTAAGACCTATTTAATGATATCCTGGAGGGGTATGCCTTACTTGTAGGTCATTTATTTTAAGTAATTAATTTATTTGTGATACTGGGGATTGAACCCATTCTACCACTAAGCACGTCCCCATCCCTTTTTATTTCTTATTTTGAGATATGGCCTTGCTAATTTGCTGATGCTGGCCTTGAACTTGGCCATCCTCCTGCCTCAGCCTCCTGAGAATCTATGAGTACAGGCATACTTGTATATCTAAAAGGAAAGGGACTGGTATTAATAATTGGTATTGTTTTCTCATTTCCCAATGACTTAAATGAGCTCTCTGGACTCCTGGTTGGTAGGATTCTTGAGAAGATCTCGTTAGAGTCCTACTTGACTGTGTGCCTGAAGCTCCATCAAGCTGCCTGCAAGATCACCAAATGCCTGAGGTTTTTTGAGATTCCTGCCTTGTCTGCTGAGGTCATTTGCAGAGTCATCAGACTTAGACCTCCAGTGGTGAGTGGGATTTATGGACAAAATGTCATGCCCAGGAGAGGTCCTGGATTCCACGCAGCCCGATTTAGAAGGGAATGTGGGAGTTCTGGGATGCCTGGATGAGACAGAGTGGTATAGTAAGTTGTCAGGTATTCATTTGGCATCTCCTACATGCTGGGTTCCATTGTATGCAAACTACACACTTTGCCCCTGGCCTTGCCAAGAAGATGACCCTTCCATTTTCCTGATTCTATTATTCACAGAAAACTAGAGCCCATTTACCCCCCAAAAACACATGTCTGTGCCTTGTCTTTCCTGCCAGACTCTTCCCTTCATGTAGCAACACACCATGGCAGCAGAGCCCATGTCCTGCTGCCCTGCTCAGGCCCCTGTGCCCCTCAGCGTGTAGTCATCCTCGCCCTCATACCCAGAGGGAACCTCACTCTGATTCCTGCCACTGGAGCTCGGCTGCCCCTGGCCTTCACACTCTGTTCTCTCACCCATGTCTCAGGGCAGCGTCCCTGCAGCTGCATCAGGAGTTTTGCATTGCTGAGCAGCTTTTCCATTGTGGGTCCTGAACTTCTGCTGTGGGTAGTCGAGAGTGGTGTCTCAGGGCAATTCTTTTTTAAACGTTTTTGCACATCAAAACTGTAATGTTAGGGATGGAGATGGTCAAGTCTACATTTTCATCTTATTCTTTCAGCCTTTCTTCTTTAATATACCACAGACACACTCTAAGAATGATTTTTTTTCCCAGTACTAGGGTTGAAACCCAGGGATGTTTAATCACTGAGCCATATCCCCAGCCATTTTTTTTTTTTTTTTGTATTTCATTTAAAGACAGTGTCTTGCTAAGTTTCTTAGGGCCTTGCTAAGTTTCAGAGGCTGGCTTTGAATTTGGAATCCTCCTACCTCATCCTTCTGGGATTATAGGGGCTAAGAATGAATATCATTGATAAGGTGTCTGCTTTCTCCCAAGTGGTACTATTTCATCTATCCCAGATTGGTGCCAGCTCCCAATAGATGGTGCTTGAGAAGTTTGTCAGTTATTTAGGGTTTACTTTTTTGCAGAAGGAAGTGTCCTCATTGTTTTTTGGGGTCCAAGATCTGTGGTCAGAAATACTCTACCTGTTCTGCAAAAACAAAATTTTGCTGTGCTAAAATTGACCAAAGCAAAGACATGCCTGGGCATGTGGTAGCCTCTTGTCAGGTGGTCAGCAGCTGGGTGGCTGCCATGAAGGTCAAAGCACAGTTCAGGGCCCTGCTGTTTGTTCAGCCTCAGGGTTGTTCCTGCAATTCATTTATTGACTACCTCTGTTCAATCCTGGATGACACCAGGATGTGTAAAGAAATAATAATAAAGAGGAGACACAGAGATAAGGTGCAGAGGCAGGGAAGGTGGCAAAGTGGACTTTTTCCCAGCAGACACGTTTATTCATACCAGTAAGTCACATTAGGTCATTAGTACCATAACTACATTATTGTTTAGCATATCCGTAAGGTTGCTTATTTTGCAGTTACATTTTACAGTTGTAATATGCAATGTCAGGAGTTATGTGCAGCTCTCAAGAAAGTCCATTGTCTGATATTACTGTAAGATGGGCAGATCCAGGAGCACCAGAGCTTGGTGAAACATTGTAGTTATCAAGCAAACAAATTCCTTTATTCCCAGGAGTTATGTGCCTAAGATTAAGGTCGAAGCTGATAAGACTGTAGCGTGGAGGGCATTACCATAGCAACCGGACATCCTATGTCTTTGCACAGAAACTTTCCCAGGCAACAAGCATGTCACAGCCATGAAGTCATCAGGGACCCCAATCCCAAACACAGAACCTCCACAAGGATGGGTCAGTGAATAGCTGGGGCCGCTTTTGGATTTGGAATGTCTGAGGCTTAGCACTAGGGAAATGCCCTGCTGGGGTGTCCAGATTGTCCTGGAAGGTATTCAGGGACATCATACAAGGGTACCCTGTTTCATTTTCCTTTGAGAAACCTCAGTGCTGTCCTGCCTTGCTCTTACCTGTGCCCTGTGCTCTGGTCACCTGCTTGGAGCCCGAGTCCCTTCTCCTGTTGTTGGTATGCCTCCCGGGCTCTTTGAGTTTCTCCACCTTGGCACTTACTATGGCTGAGGACCATGCTCTTCCTGCTGTCTGAATGGGTCATCTTTCCCACTCTAGTTGGTTCCTTATAGCAGGAATGGCGTCTGCCATCCACCTTGTCACTTTGCCAAGATGGAGGCCCCAGGGTGGTTCTGTGAGCCTCGAGGAGGGAAGGAGTCAACAGACCCAGGTTTTGTGGAGCTCTGTAAGAGCACACACTGTGCAGCCTTCAGGGCCTCTGGAGTTGCATGTGCTCCATGGCAGGTACCTCTGGAGTGCAAAGAGAGAGAGGACTCCGGAGTGTTGGGTCACCTGAAAGGGGGTAGTTCTGTTGGTGTGGTGGTAGAGGTGGGGAGGAGACAGACAGTAGCTGTCCCTGCAGAGTGCCTATGGGGAGAGGACTGGGCTGGCCTTCAGGCCAGCAGAGTGCTGCTTCACATCCCTAGAGTGGGAGCTGGGAGTTTGCATGACCTACTGGTTCAGGGTTCTCTGGAAGCTCTCTGCTCATGGGTGCATTCTTCTCACTCAATCTGGAGAAAGCACAGGGCTCTTGTGTGTACCCCCGCTGCTGGAAGCTCTTGGTGAGGCAGAGTCAGCTTGGGGACCTGTAACACCCATACCTTCTCCCCTCCTCTCCCATGTTGCCCCTTTCATGGGAGCCCAGGGTACTGGGGAAACGACAGTGCTTGTGTCAGATGGGCTTCCAACAAGCATGGAGCTAGGAGGTGGCTCAGGTGTGGGGAGCAGCAGAGTAGAGCTGGTAAAACTTCTCTCATGTGCCCACAGGACGTGGCAGAGGACCCGGGAGCCGCAGCCAAGAAGGGCTTCCTGACAGTTTTCCTCCAGGGTGTCCTGGCCACCACAAGATCCTGGCTGTGCACAGTGTTAGCAAAGAGAATGTTCCGGAAGGGTTCGACTATCCTTTTCACCTACCCCGAGGAGATCCAGGTGAGCTTTGCCTGAGGTTGCAGAGCCTCTGCAGGCAACAGAGTGGGGAGTCACACAGTTGTGTCCTGTCACCAAGAACCAGACCAACAATGCCATCCTGAACCTTGCCTCGGGCCCTGGCCCCTACTCTGAGGAAGGAACATTCCCCCTTTACCTGGCAGAGGGTCAGTGGCTCTATGGTACAGTGTGATGAGGTGCAGTCACACTGAGGCAGAGTTGCCAGGAGGACCTTCAGGCTCTGCTTCAGGTCTGAGGCTGTAAGCCAGCTGTGTGGTACTGGAAACAGAAGGTCAATATGACAGGAAGCACCTTTAGCTGGCAACTGAGTGAAGCCATTTGATAGAGTGGACTCCTCCTCCAAAACCTAGGACATGGGGAGGATTCCACAATAGTCACCCCAGTGCTGGAGAAGACAGCTGAGAGCCAGTGGGATCCAGGAGCCTGAGTCCCTAGAGGGCTACAGGGGGAGGAGTTAGAGTGGGAGGTCCTGCCCACCCCAGGCTTGCTCTCCAGACTGGTTGCCTTTTCCCTGTCCTTGAAGTGGAAGGTTGTCCCCCTTGAGCCACAGTTTTCCAGGGAGACTCTGGAACCTGCTTGTGGTCTTCACACAGAGTTGGTGGCAAGACTCATTGTGATGTTAGGCAGGGGTGCCCCAACTGTATGGACAAGGGTGGCTGCAGGCCAGAGGGTTGTTCTTTTTAATGAAGGAAAAAAAAATCCTCTTCCAACTGCTTTGTGAAGTTTTATACCAACAGAATGAAATCCCAGGAAAACACAATTGGATTATTAAATATTATTCCAGGATTCTAAGTAGTATAATCCCCAGGTGTTAAGCATGAGAGACAGGTAGCTGTGTAGCCACTGACAAGAAAGATTTTTTTTTGGTACCAGGGATTGAACTCAGTGTCACTCAACCCCTGAGCCGTATCCCCAGCCCTATTTTGTGTTTTATTTAGAGACAGGGTCTCACTGAGTGCTTAGCACCTAGCCATTGCTGAGGCTGGCTTTGAACTCATGATCCTTCTGTCTCAGCCTCCTCCGCTACTGAGATTACAGGCATGTGTCACTGTGCCCAGCAAGAAAGAATGATTCTAAGTGCAGTAGTTAATGATTAAAAAAAAATGAAATTAATTAAACATCTACTCTGCGGTGATTGCTGCTGTTATTCCTGTTTTACAAGTAAAGTTACCAAGGTCTGGGGAGATGGACATGCTGTTGGTATTGTTGGAAGTCAGGAAAATGGAGATAGGGAGTAAGAGGGACAAGAGCTCTGTGGTATGGAAGGAGCTAGAGATAGCAGCAGGAACTCATGATTTTAGATAGTTGCCAGCTCTGTCCATCAAAAGTCCTATGGCAAAGGCACCCTGGGACCATGAGCACCTACAGAAATAATGATGCCCTGGGACCCGAGCACACCCACATGCCCGCCCTTCCTTCCTTCCTTCCTTCCTTCCTTCCTTCCTTCCTTCCTTCCT